AAATTCGGTTGATTAGACTTAGCTTTATATGCGATCAAAATTATGGCTCTTTGGCGCTCCTCTACCTCGCAAAACACTCCTCTACCTCGCGAGGTGCTCCGCTACTTAGCATACATAAAAATTATATATGAAATAGGGGTAGAAAGGACCGAAAAATATAATACACATATAATTCTTTTACATTCGGTTGATTAGACTTAGCTTTATATGCGAAGTTAGAGCAAACACGGACATCAAATCTGCATATACACATATATACGTATGGACATGCGATTTTAATGCAATATTTCGACATTTTAGAATACTCTGAACATATTAACTTCCGCAAATTTGGAGATATCTATCTATTTCTAATTTTATTATATTTTTCAGTATTTTCTACCCCTATTTCATATATGACTCTTTTAAATTCGGTTGATTAGACTTAGCTTTATATGCGATCAAAGTTATGGCTTTTTGGCGCTCCTCTACCTCGCGAGGCGCTTTTTTGTTTCGCGAGGTGCTTCCCTTGCCTCGCGAAACACTACTCTACCTCGGGAGGTGCTCCGCTACTTAGCATATATAAGAATTATATATGAAATAGGGGTAGAAAAGACTGAAAGATATAATTCATATATAATTTTTTTAAATTCGGTTGATTAGACTTAGCTTTATATGCGATCAAAATTATGGCTTTTTGGCGCTCCTCTACCTCGCGAGGTGCGCCGCTACTTAGCATATATAAGAATTATATATGAAATAGGGGTAGAAAGGACCAAAAAATATAATTCACATATAATTCTTTTAAATTCGGTTGATTAAACTTAGCTTTATATGCGATCAAAATTATGGCTCTTTGGCGCTCCTCTACCTCGCGAAACACTCCTCTACCTCGCGAGGTGCTCCGCTACTTAGCATACATAAAAATTATATATGAAATAGGGGTAGAAAAGACTGAAAAATATAATTCATATATAATTCTTTTAAATTCGGTTGATTAGACTTAGCTTTATATGCGATCAAAATTATGGATCTTTGATCGCGTATAAAGCTGGGTCTAATCAACCAAATCTTAAAAAATTATATATGAAATAGGGGTAGAAAAAACTGAGAAATATAATAAAATTAGAAATAGATCGATATCTTCAAATTTGCGGAAGTTGGAGCAAGCTCGGACATCAAATCTGCACATACGTACATATATACGTACGGACATGCGATTTTAATGCAATGTTTCGACATTTTAGAATACTCTGAACATATTAACTTAAGCAAATTTGGAGATATCTATCTATTTCTAATTTTATAATATTTTTCAGTTTTTTCTACTCTTATTTCATATATAATTTTTTTAAATTCGGTTGATTAGACTCAGCTTTATATGCGATCAAAATTATGGATTTTTGGCGCTCCTCTACCTCGTGAGACGCTCCTTTGCCTCGCGAGATGCTTCTCTTGCCTCGCGAAACACTCCTCTACCTCGCGAGACGCTCCTTTGCCTCGCGAGGGAAGCTTCCCTTGCCTCGCGAAACCCTCCTCTTATCTCGCGAGACGCTCCTTTGCCTCGCGAGATGCTTCCTTTGCCTCGCGAATCCCTTCTCTTATCTCGCGAGACGCTCCTTTGCTTCGCGAGATGCTTCCCTTGTTTCGCGAAACCCTCCTTTTATCTCGCGAGACGCTCCTTTGCCTCGCGAGATGCTTCCCTTGCCTCGCGAAACACTCCTCTACCTCGCGAGGTGCTTCGCTACTTAGCTTTATATGCGATCAAAATTTATACAATATATAAATTGCATCTATGCATACAAGACAATATTTTCAAAAATTTGACTTACACCACTATGGCTTTTACCCGTCCATATGTAACATTATTTATAAGAAAATTATATTGTAATAAGGAATTATAAGGAAACGTGTAATAAATTTGAAATTGTATGATACTAATGCCGGATATATTATACGAAATCAACATAAGACGATTTCTTAATAGATAATAACGGTGTTTATTCTTTATCTATAGAATTTCACATTTTAAAAATTATCGTTAATTATTATAAATTTCACATAAATGTGAAGGTTTGAATCAACGCTCAAATAATAGCTTCTTGCTTGCAAAATTTGACATTTATCTGAAAATTAAAATTATAAAATTACGATTATATTTTTCAAAATTATGAGATACAAAGTTCGTAATAATTTTGAAGAATGTAATCTTAATTTTGTAATTTTAATTATCGTAATTCGTTATTAATTGGAATACGCAAGATGGAAGCGCGGCCGCCGCGGCCAGAATATCCCCTCCAGCTGGCTAGTTCGGCTTCGGCACGAACCTAGCACGGACGCAAACCATGTGCGGTTACCGAGCGATACGACGTAGTTGAGTTGCATTTTCTCAGGCGGCGCGTCGGAAAATGCAACACAGCAACACACGAAAAATGCCGGGATGGCCTCTCTCAGGTTTCTCTCTGCGTTTATCGATATTTCGATATTATTCGAGAGCTATTCTTTATAACTGCACTGTACGAATTGTACTTTATATGCACTGTACGAATACGAATTGTACTTTCTACACTTGAACAAACATTGGAGAGAAAGAGGAAAGATAAATAGTACGTCAAGAGAAGGTGTATATACGCTAATTCAACTATTAAAAAAACAGATCTGAGATTTGCGAGTGAAAAATGTCCGTCTTGAAAATTTTGTGTATTGTTATTTCGATTGCGTACGTCGCGAGTGGCAGCGAGTCCGGATTTTGCGAGACGCCCGACGAATGCACCGAGAATTCGAGAGGATGTCCCGGTCAGAGCCACTTCACAGGAAAACGGTCAGGAATTATTGAGATCTCACGCCAGAGAAAGTTAAAATTTAGGAATTTGTTTTATCAATTCAATCCTTTATAACCGGAATTTCTTTGCTTAAAGGAAAAAAATTATACAACCTCTAAATAGAAAACACTGATTAAAGTTTCGTTGTCTGTATTTTACACTTCAAATCCATGTTTTTAAATCTCAGTCAAACTTGGTAATTAATTATTTATATATTTATATTTTTCTAATCTCATTGAGATATATTTATTGTAAATTACGTCGAGATGTATCTCAATGAGATCTGAAAAATATATATTTAAATAATTTTCTCATTGAGAGGTTTATAAAATATAGATTTATAGGAATGCAACTTTTTATGTCATATGTTATTGTAGATAATTGTTTATTTTCATGCTTCAGGGCGAGGATTCATGATATGCTTTCTTTACAGTTACATCCTTTACAATGTGAATCCTGCGGAAGGCTTCAATCTGAGGAGAGATGTGTATATCCGTGTCGCCGTTTTTCTAAGAAGGCTAATCGAGAGGGATAAGGAATACCAGTGGCAATTGGTTCTGCCACCATGGGGTAATATATGAACTATAGATATATTTCATGAGATTTATAACTTATACATGATTGTGCATTTATTTCAATCTCTGTTCTAGGTAATCTGTACCATTGGCAAAGCAGAAATATAGGATCCCAGGAACGTCTGTCCTGGGGTACCTTCTTTGACATTGCTAGTCTGCAACGATACGTACCAGTCATGGAGATGTACACATTTATGGAAGGTACATTTCTTTATGTTTCTTCTCAACTGCAAGAATATTAAACCCATAACGTTTGCGTAGGTTTTTTTTCAACAAATACAGTCAGAATGTAAAACAAGAAAGAGTGTTACATAAACTTAGATTACTCAAGATTTAGTTTTTGAATTATAATGAATTATTATATAATGCTTGAGGTACCAGCAAATACTCGAAGCGTATTTCGCTTCATGAAAAATTGAAGGAAGAATATAACTTTCTTAAGTTTATGCCTTATTTCTCTCAATAACTTGAATGATACAATCTGATTAACTTGTGTCTACATAATATTTTTCTTCTATTTTCTAATACTGATTTTCTAAGTTACAGAATAATTCTGTATTGGGTTTCAATCTATTATATATATGTTAATGTGTATTAACTCCCTTCTGATTAATGGTATTATGAGGATTTGATATAAATGATTTATTTGACTGTACAACAGCTTGATTTTAGAGTACTCATGCGGGAACAGAGAGGTGCAACTCGATCGTCTGTACATTCTGCAAAATGACGAAGAAATGTTCAAGACAGGTAAATTCGAGGATAAGAACGAACTGGTAGACTGCGATCGTGGCTCTTTGCGATATCATGAATTGGAGCAACATCTGTACATCGGTCCATTCTGGGGCTATCATAATGTCACGGTTCGGGATGTGAAATGTCTTAAGTTTCATGGCATGGCACATGACCTCTCTCAGAATCTCATGCCAATGCAATACAGGTGAGATATTCTGAATGTATTTCTATACTGCTTCTGTAAGGATTTTACTATCATTTCTTTGCTTTTACACAGGTCCATAATGTTTGATCGCATGGAGATTGCTTTACACGACGAATACGGATCTAAAGAATACTGGAGGGCTAGACGCAGCATGCGTTATAATTCCGAGTTGTACGATATCGCGGAAAAATATAGGAAAATTTTTCTAAATTCCACGAATGTGAACGATAATACGGAACGACCAGCGGATTGGACCAAAGAGAAGGTATGTTGATCATTATTCTTTTATACTATAATGATAATAAATCTTATCTGAGTTCTAATTTCAGAATCGGCGAAATGCAAGAGGCGGGCCTTATTTGGCGGTTCATCTTAGGAGACGCGACTTTATTAGGGCTCACAAGGAATCAGTGCCGACAATAATGGATACTGCCCTACAATTACAAAAAAGAATGGATAGGCTTGGGCTAACCTTATTATTTGTTGCGACAGATGCAGAGCAATACGGTATATACAGCTTATGTAAACTTGACTTTTGGAAAATTCTATAAATTATCAAATCTGTGTTAAATATACATGTTATAATTGAAAAAAATATTCTATATGTGAAGAAAAATTAAATAACACTTGAATAATGATTTTCAGAGTTCGAAGAACTTAAGTCGTATTTACCTCAGTACAAAGTCATGAAGTATGTGCCATCTGATTATGTAATAAATAAATTTAAAGATGGTGGGGTCGCCATTATTGATCAAATAATCTGTTCGTATGCCAGGTAAGAATATTTATGACGATTTATTTATACCGATTGATTAAAAACAGATTGTTGAGTGCAAGCTACTCGTTTAATAAATTATCTGCAACAAATATCTGTAATAAACTTGTGATACTTAGCTTATAATACAAGAATCTCAGGTAACTTTTCCCTTTTTTTTTTAATTAGATATTTCATAGGAACTCATGAATCGACATTTACGTTTAGAATACAAGAAGACCGGGAAATTATCGGTTTTCCATTAAAAACCACATTCAATAAATTATGTAAGACTGATGAGGATTGTACAATAGATGGATTTTGGTCGATCGTTTGGTAACGGTCTGCCTTAATAAATCAAAATCTTTAATTTGTAAATTTTCTCTTAATTACTACTCATACCTTTGCTTGTGTCAATTCTAATTTTATTTGACAAATTGTAACAGCAAATTACAATATGTTTCTTTCTACAAATATTTTTTTATCCTAAGGAAGGGAATCGAAATATAAATTTTATTCCATATTATATTTAAATCTACATTAGAAAACCTTTTGCACGCGCGTTTATGCGTGTATGCATATATTGCAATATTTTATTTTGTTTCGTAATATTGTTTTCAACCTCGGAAAATTCTGTACTTTAACTTAATTAAGCGCAATTCCAACATAATAATTATTTTAATATATTATATAAAGGGATATATTATATAAAGTTGTGTATTGTATAATACGCAATTATTATATTGTATAAAATTATATGTAATTATTATACACGTATATTGTATAAAATTGACATGTAATTATACAATACAATATTAATATATATATTTATAAATAATTATCATAAATTGATTTTTGCGCTACATTTCTCGACGACTTCGAGAATCGCCACGTCCCTCTAATCTCGAATCGAAATCCGTCGCGAATCGCGCCGCGAAGGATCATGCAGCTATATTCAAATCGCTCCGTATTCGTGTTCGTGTCTTCGTCTGGAAATTAATTCTGGACGAAGATCATCGCGAGTATCTCGCGAAATATCGACCGTTCGCGGTAACGCGTCAAACATATTGCACGTCGAGATCGCGATTTCCGCGTTGATCCGCCTCTGCGCGCCCAGGCCCCAGGTTATAGACTATATGCGTTTCAAGTTACTCCTTCGCCGAAACTCAGCTCGGTGTGCGCGCAATTCTCACTGGGGTATGTATTACGCATTCATATGAGAAATTAAAACTTGAGATATGGATTGACACACATTTTATTGGGAATTAGAATCCAAGTCACGCATGATAACATTAATCTAAGGTATGCATATTATAATCGTAGATTTACCGTAGGCGCGCTCTCGTTGGAGGTGTGAAAAACAGCATGAAAGAGGAAGCAGCGAGTTAGATATTTTCCGCAATCCTTATTGCATAGATGATCTAGAGAAGAAAGAAGGAAGAAATAAGTTGGTTTTTTTTTATTTTCTTAGAAAGAGATGCTCCTTAACCATCTCACTTTTTCTCTCTTATTTTCATTCTTATCTGTCTGCATCATCCTATCAAAGGGATTGTGTGATAGAGAAAATATCTGAAAATATCTAACACTATCGCATATCTCTTTTCTTCGATGTTGTTTAGTTATCCTATAGGTCAGTATAGGTATCTGTGAGCGCGCAATCTATCTAAAATCTACGATTGCAATATTTGTGCAATTATACATCCTAGGCTAGAATACATTATACGTTACATCACATTATGTGTTTACGTCTTTCATATTAATAATAAAACTGAGCTACTGCATTTATTTGGAATGCCCGAATAGTGATATAATTTTAAAAGAATATATCGTATTTTCTTCGCAGATTCTAATATGTATAAAAAAGGTTTATATATAATTCACCTAAATTGATATAGCAGTACTATTTGTATAAAACGTTGTCTTAAATCAAAAAACGATTTTCCACATGTTCTCGATATGGAAATTCATCTTTTCTGCGAAATGAACTGGCGGTATTTAATTATAGTAATTTCGAGTTTGTTTAAACAGCATGATGTCATTGATTTTCGTAAAGCGTGCCTCAGGGATGCGATACCATTCTTCCTTATTGCACCACCTGCTTAATGTATACTTTAATCCCTTTATTTTGGTAATGGGTGACACTTTGGATGTATCAATAGTAACTAATGGTTCATCCTTGGGTTCAAAATTTAATATTTCACTCTGGTCCTTTTCATCTACAGATGATGCATCTTCTTCTTGCAATTTGTTCTCACGCTTAGGCGACACGTGCACTGATAATGTAGCCCTTTTGTCATAAATGTGTTTCTACAAAGTTATACATAAGGAAACATGAGCAATATAATTTTGCAATTGAGATGAAGCAATTAATAATTCCGCGTAAAAACATTAAACACAAAAATACACATTAGTTCAAAAAATTAAAATAATACTTTAATTAAAATATAATTAAAATATAATTTTAATATCTTTGCATTAATATCTCTTACGTGTAATGTTTTGCAATTTATTGTTCCTTCTTTAGAAAATGATATTATATCTCTTTTCATTCCTGTTGTGATAATTATGCTTTTGACAAAATTAAGAATATACGGCAATGAGAAGATTTAAGCTAGGTAATCTAAATCTTAGTAAGTGGACAATTACTACTAATTATTTTATTTAAGATTATTTGTTTCTCGGAAATCCACAAGATGATGATATTTTTTCTATATTTTCTACATATTTTTTTTATGTACAATAGAATAATTTTTTAAAATTTTTTTAGAGCATAAATTATGACGCATAATGCAGATAAATAAATGTAAAGTAAAAAATACTGTTACCTTGTAAAACTTAAGTAATGATGTTTGCTTTATGTCTTGTATGGATTTTATTTTGATTTTCTGTTGATCACCGGAATATAACTTGGTAAAACCGCCTATCCAGATTACGTCAGATATATCATTTAATTTTAGTGTCTTATTAATCTCACCATGTCTGATGAGATCTGTCTTGTACTTCTCAAATTCTGTTATAGAAAGCTTAGAGAGCTGTTTAATGTATTTCTAAAATGTAATTATAATGTTGTAAGCGATTAAAAATGTTATAAATAAAAGTATTTCAGCTACTGTATTTAACGGAAACAAGTGAGCTCGTTATAAATAGAGACGATAAACAAAAAATGTGGAAGTTTGAATTGTTTTATCTATTTTTTTTGTTATAGCAGAGAACATATTTTGTGATATGTTGCACGAGTTAATTATGTCGCAACTTATTGTTAATTAAACGTTATCCAAGCTTAGAAGTGATACAAGGTACTATTAATTATTATTATTATTATTTTATTAATTATTAATTATCATGTTCTTCTCGGTACAAAGAGTAATACAAACATTTTATTCTATATTCTCAAATATTATTTTGGTAATTATGAAGGAGAGGGGCTTCCTTACATTTGGAGCTTCCTATCATTTGCCCGATTGTACGATTAATAACAGATTATCGTATACATTATTATTGTGTAACATTTTATAATTACCATCGTAGATGAGATGAATTGTTCGATATGATATTGAACAGCATATGGGTCTATAAAAGCATCAATTACGATTTGCAAGCCTTGTACACCCGTTGCTGTACGCACACACATATATATTTTGTGGATGTGCTGAATATCTTCAAAGAACTTTAAAGATCTTTTTGCCATTATATGGTATACAAGAGCTAATTTCGATAGATTTGTCTCTTCAATTTGATAGTATACTACCGTACACGATACATCATGCAGGGATTTATTATTATGTTCTACTTCATACAGAAAGTGAGTATCTACACAATGAATACAATATATATATTATATAGCATATAATGATATATCATTATAGATCATATTAGTTAACTTCTATATTACTTTTTAACGTATTTTCGTATGAAATTTATTTTAAACCGCAACATTACAATCAACTTTCAACGTTCTGTTTAATAATTTACAATTAAATAGAGATTAATAATATTTATATATCTTTTTGATAAAAATAAGTATAAAAGTTCTTCTTTAATTGATAAGTGATTTGTGCAGCACTCGTTCGATGAAAATGTATCGTTGTTAATTTCGATTTCTAAGGCTGGATTTTACATCCCACGCGATTAATATTTAACAGGATTAAATAATAACCGCGTGGGATGTAAAATACATTCCAGTCTTAGATATAATCTACTAAATATTAATTCGCTGAAGCCATTTCATTCTGTGACAAAAATCTTATTACGCATAGGATAATATTTTGCCAATAAATATGTTATATAAAATCAATTTTAAATGTGCAATAAAGTGAATTAATCTTTTTTTAAAATTTTTAATAACTAATTTCCAAAAATATGACAAAATTTAAATTTGCATTTTTTAATTTTTAATTTTATTTTTTAATGATATTTAGTTTATTAAAATTTAGACTTTAGATACAAAAAAAAGTTATTTAAATCTGTTTAATACTATTGGGGCTTGTCGTGAATTTTCAAAATTCTTTAAAGTTATATGTTGGCTTTATGTTTGAACGTTGCTCACCATTTTCTAGCTTGGCTTCGCGATGCTGTGGCAATCTTGTTCGCATGATCGTTGGGTCTTTTGCTTTTTTCACCTTGTATTCCAGAGTATCACCTATTTCTAAGGCTTGTACCTTGCTTATTTCACCGCATATTAAGCATTTAACGTGTAAGTTACTAACGAACTTCTTTATAAACTTTTGCATTGTATCAGCAGTTATATCTGTAGCTATCAACATCATAGAGATGTTTGAGCGATTATAATTTACAACATGTCATTAAATCAATTTAAATCATGATTTAAATCTTATCTGAATGCATAGTTATTTAAGTTTAATGAACGATATATAATTATATGTTAACAAAATTTATTTGAAAGAAGATATATTTTTTCAATAAAACATAAATTTACTATTAATTATTTTTAACATCTTAATAACGAAATATTTTTTTGCATACTTACAAGTACTTGCTTTTAATACTTCATTATGCGGCCAGGATTTTTCCGATAATATGTTCTGAAAGTAACAGAATGCCTGCTCTGATGGTCGCATACGTGCGAAATGTTTGAAGGCCTTGATATACTGTAACCCGCATTCTTGATAAGTACGGCTATATTTAATTTAATTTCATACCTATTTAAATTTGTGTCTTCTCTGTATTTCATTGTACCTACCTTCTTCTTGAGGGTTTCGAACTCTTCCGGTAGAACTTTCAAGTGCATTATTGTAGAAATTACCTTTCCCAAATACCCATGATACGTTATAGGGACATAACTAGTTAGTTCAAGCTAAAGAAATTTTTTTTAATTATTGCCTTTAAAAGTAAACAGTTTTCTTAATTATTTATTTTTTGCATGAAGTCAATTAGATGTCTATTGAATATATAATATTATTGTATTATACGAAAAAGAATTAAACTGCGAATAACAAATGACGAATGAGAAATAAAATTTTGCTTGCAAATAGTCGATTAGTATTTATTCGGTAAGAATATATCTACTGCGAACAAATATTATATCCAAATGTAATTTTATTTCTTTCAGAAAAATTTATTTAAAAGTTACACGTACTAAATATTTATTATTACATATTTATTTATAAACAACGAAAGAGTTACACCAATATTTACATCAATATAATCACGCCAGTATAGATTATTTTTAGTGCATTCTTTCTTTGAATATTTTATTATACAATTTGTTTTCTTTAGATTAATCGTGATGGAATTAAAAAATAGTCGGTTATATATTATTAAATTTGGATTATGAGCGACAAAAAATAAAATACATAATATATGTATCAAAGATTTTATTATTATTATTTTACTCACCACTATGCCGTACTTGGTTTTCCTAGTCTGCCATTGCATTTCATCTTGAAGAAAAATCGGCATTTCGGTAGCAATTTCAATTAGCCTGGCAAATATAATGTTTAATATATAATCCAAGGGGTTCTCGTAAGCTTGCGGACTACAAATCAAATTCAGAAAGAAATTACACGCTACGCATTATTGCGATACATATTTATTTGTAACAGATATATTGTTTGTATAATGTTCAAGTTTGCTTTGTATACCTGATGAAATGAAAGAACATTTTAATATGTCGCTGAATTGCGCTTGATTTTGGAGTTGCGTGAGCGTACCAAAGTTGTATGAATAATGTGTCCTTTATAATTTCAGGCATTTTTTCAGTATATAGTGGGATCTGTAAAATATTTTTGCTACCGATATACACGATATGTAAATATGATGTACGATATGACGGGTTAATTATATAAAAGATACGATTTCGTGCATTAATTCAAAAGAAAGCGTTATTATTAAAATAAGATCTATTTTTGAAATATATAAATATTTATTCAAAAAGATTTTTTATACAGAGAAGGATTTATTTCATATTTTCGATTCATAAGAAATTATTTTTCTTTGCCTTGCACCACGCTTGCGTAAAAAAGTATCTCGATTTGTTTAAAAGAATTTTTAGTTCTATTTCTAAATATTCATATTTTACACGATAATATATTAATAATAAATAAATTAACGAAAATATTATTGCGCCTAAATATATATATATTAATATAGTGAAGAGTTACATACATTTGGATCTGGCACAAATTTTAAGTCAGGTACAAGTAATTCTGATCGTTCTTCTTTCTTCGATGGTTCTTTTGACCATAGATCAATTAATGATTCCTTAATTTTATTTTCTGTGTAGTCTGCATTGTCCCATTTGCTTTCTAAAGGCGGAAAGTCGTCGTGAATTATGTAAATTCTAATAAAACGTGGAGATATGTATTCATCTATTAGTATTTTAATCATGGACGTAATATAATCGAAGTCTCTAAAAAATTGATTGTTTAGAATATTCGTTGATGGATATTGACATTGGTTCAATTGTTGAACTGTCTTTATAATCCTTTGTTGAGCTTCCTCTTCTTTTTCAAGTCTTCCATATTTTAACATCTGCAAATTTAGAATTTTATGGATTTTACAGGTTGAGTCATTTTTATGTCTCCATCTTTTTTTTCGTATGCTTTGTACATAAATGTGTTTGAGATAAAAGTTGTTTTATACTAGGGTTGAAACACCAGTAGTGTTAATACCAGTTTGATTTGTAGGTGGTGTTTATAAAGTTAAATCATAAGAATTTTTTTAATGGGTTTATATATATATATATATATATGAATTCGTTTATATATATTTCCCAAGCGGCGTCGAGAACTCTTTAAAACATTATTTATGCTATTTTGTTTTTTATTTATTAGAAAGAATTAAAAAGAAATAAAAAATATATGTTTTGATTGACTTAGTTCTCAAGAAAGGCGAAATTGAGAAAATATGCACGTATGAAAATATGCTATATATAAGTATTTCTCTAAAGAGTCTAAAGTTATGTATATTTGTTTATCTCGTTCAAGTTGAATAAAATTCTTTATAATAATTAGGCACAGATGAATAATAAATGTAAAACGATAATGTACTAAAGAACATGAGAACTGTAAGAAATAAGAAAAAGGTTTCTTTTTCCTTCGTGTATCGAAATTTTGAGAAAAATGATTTTGAATATAAAAGCATAAAAATGTCAAAATTATTGTTTTCGAAAAGTTTAATTATATATCATATTTTTATTTGATCTTTTTAATCGCGAGAAATTGTAAGTAGTACGACAATTTGTCGAAAATCTCTGTATAAACTTTTATATTTTGTTACTTACATTGTTTAGTACTTTAATAAATCGACGGTTCGGTAAGTTTAAGTACTTAGTCTTGAATAACTTAAGATATTCAAAAAATAATTGAACAATATCAGAGGTATGCCTGCAGTATCCTTCTGGCAACAACGTGAAAACGACATGGAAAAAATTTAGATTTCTGGCTTCTTGACATGCACTAATAGAGATACCGTTACACCAATTCTTGGCCTTTAATGTACCCAATAGTGACTTTTCGTTGTCATATTCCAGAAAAAAGCTAATACAATTTACAGCCTGTATTAACAAGTGAATAGTAAGAAAAAAATAGATAAAATTATTAAAATAATAAAAGATTAAGCAAAATTTTGAAAATTTCAAAGAAATTTCTGTGTAACTCTTTTCTAATTACATAATCTTATTTCTTAGCTATTCTGCCTTTGGTATAAATAAACTCGAGGGCCGATATTCATAGTCGGAGGTTATATTTAAGATTGTCTTAAGTACAATCTTAAGATGTCATGAATCAATCACAAAATATTAACATCTTAAGACATTACTTAAGGACGTTCACCGGTCCTTATACTAGAGGAAATCGATTTTCTATAGATTTTCTTGAAACTGTGAATATACGTTAATTTAGGTGTGCTTTAAATTTCAGTACCTCTTGCGGTATAAAAATCGAGATACTGAGCCTCAAAGTTTCAACTTTTACTAAATTTTGGTAAAAATTGAAACTTTGAGGCTCAGTATCTTGATTTTTATACCGTAAGAGGTACTGAAATTTATACCACGCATAAAGCACACCTAAATTAACGTACCTTTATTCACAGTTTCAAGAAAATCTATAGAATTTCGATTTTCTCTAGTATAAGGACCGGTGAACGTCCTTTATTAAGACGATCTTGAAATAAGAACCAACTATTAATATCGATCTAGGTCTTCCTGCAGCCAGTCATTGTTTGTTTTTGCGAGAGACCAATAAAAGAAACAGAGAAGAAAGTTACAGAAACAGAAAATGTTTGAAAATGTCAAAATTTTAAAAGTCTATAAATATTAAATGTTAACAATTAATGTATATATATAATGACATATAATGTTAATATAAACCATATAATTGAGATATTTGTAAAAAAAAACGCTCTGTAAAAAAATTATGTTACCCTGCGCCAACAATCTTCTTCTACATTCGGCAAAGGAAATGCAAGTCTCATTAAATTCTTGGTATCACTTTTTGGAGCAATATACCATACAGTGCAAAATCGATCCGTAAATGGCGTAAAATATTTTGGAAGTTTAATTTCCGAGTTCTGTATTTCAGAGAATACTTTGTCTACCATCCGTTCAAATCCACCTGCATCTAAGTATAAATTTATTCATTAGTTTGACTCATTTAATATAATAAGATAATAATTTGTAATAGCTTTATAACTGTTATTATGTATTAACTCTAAAACATTCTGTATTTATTTTTTTTATCTATAAATTAGTTACTGTCTCTTACAATTACTCGTGATGCCTAGTGTCATGATATTAGCGGAGTAATATGTCAAAATGAAATTGAGTAACGTGAATTTGATGTTTTCTATAGACATTTCCGTCAATATTTTTTCCTTGCACAAGCCATAGTTTGAATAAGGATGAGCGGAATTGATCGTAGACCTTTCAAAATATTGAAACCAATTATGTTGCAATTCTTTTTTTAACTTTGAATCCATTATCCTTATCCTTTCTTCGATACAAGCGTTATTGAAGGAAGGAGTTGAAATGAAGAGCTGAACAAAGCGCTCTAAGATTTGCTCAACAACATCATAGTCCTTTGTATAGAAGTAGAAATAATAGGTAGTATGCTCTGATGATGTTGTTAAGGAGATATCGCCGTTATATTTATATAAAAGTTTCTGAAACCTGTTGGACTGTGCGGTTGTTCCCCAAATTATCATTTGTTGACACAAGTTCGCCAATCCTGGAAAATTTTTTGGATCGGCAAAGCTACCTGTAACAACATGTTTTATTTCTAATTAAATGTATGAAATTTATAATTTGATTATCATCAATTAGAACAACATATTAAGTAACTAAAAATATTTTATTAGATTGTGAGACGTTGATGATATCAGAGAATGGTAGATATATTAAATTAAAAAATTCTTTTGCTTGCTTTTTTCTTTGTTTGGTTTTTACGTAAATAATTAAAAAGAACAGATTATGCATTTTGAATTGTATGTATAATGTAGTAGTTGTACAATGAATTATACATATACAAGAATAATATTATATAAGTTATATTAAATATATATTAAAAAAAAAAAAAAAAACACGCAGTCAGTATTTACAATTAGTAGACGGATTAATGTGGAAAGAATCGAATTTTAAGACAATAAAGTTTGAGGCGTATAAAAGTTTCTTATATACATTTTTTTTTTTAATCTGTATTTATAAATGTTCTGAAATGTTGTGTCTATTTCTAGATTCGTTCTATATGCGTGTGAAGATGCGTAGAAATATAATATGATGAAAATTACCGATGTGAATATCCAGTGCAACGGAAAACTTATTAGAGACGTTGTGATTATTTATTAATATCACTTTCATTTTATTCTTTAGCGTGAAGCACCAATTACCGTAATTGTACTCAGTTGCCATGCTTGCTTCGATTTCGACGATCGTCTTTAAGATGCTTTTAAGAGAAACGCAAGAGTACTGAAGATTAGGCTATGTGACTGTGTTATATGTATATGTTTGTGTTTACATATCCAAATGTTATTTTGCTGTACATCTCAAATGTTTGTTTGCACATAACGGGTCCGTTATTATTATCGAATTTGTACATAACGAACTTGGAATCCGCGAAATCTAATGCCACGTATTAAATTTTGATTGTTAATTTAAAATTGATACCGGAGTTATTTTGAGTATGGATTTTCTTTTGGAAAATACGATACGGTCCTTTTATAATTTGAAATGATTAATTCCGTTATGAGCGATTAAAGAATCGTAATAAAAGTATCGCGCAAAGGGCAGAGGAAAGGAAGCTGTGTTGCGGTTTCGTTGACAATTTCACATTCACTGGTTGGCTTGAGCAGACCTTGAAGTGAAACATGCGCGTAATCTGTGCTTAAATGCATCATCAGCGTGTCATCAGGGCCCACATTGCGATTACAGCGGGCAGTTTTTCTACTTTGGTGAAAATTGCCGTGCCTCTCGCGTTTATGCAATGACGCGGATATTAATTACGGAGTGCGGTCGCGGCCCAATAACGGAGAATAATGCGATTGAATTACTTTGTTTCGCTTTCTCGGTATACAACTACAGATACATTACTCGTTTGCCTGCGGATACATATCAATAAACTAATTGGCTGCAAAGCTGAATCAGGATATTATCCGTCACGAATGATTTTTCCGACTAGCTAATATGGATTATAAAATATTATGTATACATTATTGGTCCGCAGATTTTACTATATATTAGATATATTTTTAACAGGAAAAGATATAAATAGAAGTCATTGTTTATTCTACCATTACTTAAATAATTATCATATATTTATTGGTTTTCGGTGTCATTATAAGTTTTTTAAAATTATTTACAAATAATATATGTGTATTGTTAAATTATACCAATAGAGAGAGATTATAAACTAATATTTCAAAGCGCACGTCTCTTGTGGGCATCACAATTTAATTGATAATCATAACTTATTTATCTTATACATAACTTGATTGAAAGACGAGACTGTTCGTCCTATAGTTTCTAAAATATATGGTTTAAAATTTCGGTTAGGCTTTGTTTCGGGAAGCTGTTTGATTTTTAGATATCTGCGGTATCTTTTTACAGTTTTGTGCTACGAAAGAAATCTTGGTATACAAGAAATCGCATAATTCTTGTCTCATTAAGATCGCTTCCGCTCCCTTTCATTCGAGTGAAACGCTTTTTAACGAGGATTCATACGCGTATATACGAAGAGAAAAGTCTCTTTTTCCCATACATGATACTCGTACATTCACATAATACTTTTCATGTGGCGACACGGCAGATGTCTCGCTCGTGATAAACTTATACGAAGATTATGTCGTTTTACGTAACCCGGCCGCCTTAATGTCTTAATTGGCATTCTCCGATTGAAAAGCATTATAACACCATTATTTCGCAATATTAAATTCATCGCTAATCGAAATGTCATGTGGCAACTCCAGGGCTTTGCGTAATTGCTTTATTTATCTTTTTAAAGAGTACACCGTATATATAAGAGAAGCCTCTCTTTGATCTCCTAATACACTAATGTGATAAAATGCCTAACAATTTATGAAAATTTCGTCATCTTCGTTTCATCCGCGAGAATTAGGGACAGATAATTCCACGGAAGTTGCGTGCCCCTCGAAGAAAGTAATAGCCGTGCGAAGAAAGAAAGTTTGCACGCACGTATATATGTATATATTGGAGAACAGAATTTATTTCTCGAGAAAATCGAGAATATCCAATAATTACAATATTCTGCAGTTGATCGTCATACGAAGAGTGGAAAAAAGTGTCGAGATGACGTAAAAAATGAGCGATAAACATGTAGATAGCGTGTTAGCACGAGCTATGGGCTTTATGATATAATGGAAATAATATATGCACATTGCGTTATGTGCATATGCGTACTGGCGTCTACAAAATAACTTGATAAAGTACGAGGTCAAGTAATAGACGAGCCTGAGATCTCGCAGATAACAATCTTGCGAAAATTCTTGTCCCTGTTTAATTATTTATACTTCCAGATTTCATAATGTGGCTTGTAAACTACACGCGAGTACTTAGCACGCGATACTTAGAATGCAAATAACATGAAACTGCCGTAGATATTAACATGATAGCCTTTTACACTAAATACTACATCTTAATAATTATGTAAATAATATATTATGCTATTCTATTAATTTTCAAAAATAAATAACTGTAGATATATGTATGTATTTTCTATAAAATGTGGTAGCTTATACGTATGTGGATATTTTATTTTTCTCTCTTTAATTTTTATTATCAGAAATTATGTAAGACCGTACTTTGAATGTTTTTGTGTATTCATCAGATAAAAAATAATATCTAAACTTGCGTTAAAATCACAACATTTTTGCTCAAGTATGTCAATTGTAATTTAACATTAAAAATTCTTCGTGAGCTTCTATGATTTTAAAATGTAATTATATATCAGATCCACATCATTCATTTAAGTTCCAGCGAATTTTGTTTCAATTTTTCGCAAATGTAGTCCAAAATTTTAATCGATTTGAAAGATATACTTAGTAGACGGATTTTAACAAAATCCTTAGGGAGAGAGTTGACTTCGCATTTCACACATTTATCTCAAACATTAATAAATTTATATTATTTTTTATATTAATATTAAATTAATTATTTTTATTAAATTTCAGTGGAAGCTGCCAATGCTGCAAATCCTCCTTTGAAACGGGCGATCAGTTCGAAACGTGAGACTCACCGTCGCACAATCGAGACTGGAGAAAGGAAGAGTCGCTGGACGGTCGAGTTTTCGTCGCCCGGGGCGAACCCGAAAGTGTTTTCGCTGCTCAATCAGAAAGTACTGGACCATGACGAAAGATCGGCATCGATCGAACAAGTATGTATCGCATGATCTTGATTCTCTTAATAACGTCGTTGCATTACGGTGCGTCATTAGTCATCGTTGCACGAACTGACTTCGTCCCGTCAGTTCTCGAACACGATTCGGTTGCTTCACACGCCTCCGTGCCCCAACTATGATTATAAGATCTATTTTTTTGTTTGTAATGATAGGGATTTCGTAAGCTTCTCCATACTTATACGATCCAATAAGAGTCACCGATATTTATCTCAACATTAATTAATCACGATAGCATCCGCGAGGAAAGCTTTAAGCTTAAAGAATCGTGAAATAAATTTGCAACGAAAACACGTATTAAGTATATTAAGTAGGAAACTATTAAGTGTATTAAGTAGGAAACGTTAGATACGATTTGCAAGTTAATTTACGTAATAATTTCGTTAGAAATTGCTTGACGTAAGAACGGGCGTGCGAAGGCTTAATGAGTGGCATTTCCGCGAGCGCGCGTCGCTGAGCTGCGAATAAAACAGCGGCATGTTATCGGAAGCGGCGTATGAAAAAGGCAACTGTAAAATGGTACGTCGCGCATTTGCCCGTTCTCTGGAACGTCGAGCACTTGGACGGAAACATAATGGACCGATGTCCGTTCAAGCGTTCGCTCGATCTCGATCGTCATTAAGTAATAGTTAACGGATAGATGGAATTGGTCGTGTAACATTCCTCTTCCGATATTTCGTTTGTGATAAGGAAGAGGAACGAAAGGGGTTTCTTTATGTCTCTTACCAACGCTTACCAACGCTTCTTACGAATGTTCTTTGAAAGAGAGACAGAGAAAGAGAGAGAGCTTTCTAAAGTTTATTTTAAATTTCCTAGACTGTAACATATAACTGTCTTATCAACTGTAAAAAATGCTGACTATTTAATATTCAGATATAGAAGAATATTCTTATCGAAACAGTAAAAAGACATTAAAGAAGTTAATAAAATCACGGCTGCTAATTGTAAGACATAAATACAGAGACATAAATAATTTTTATGACTTTATAAATTATAATTATATTGTAATTCGTTGAGCTTTAATTCACGGTCTTCAGGTCAGAAAACAAAGTTGTGTATATGTTATGTACGAGACGCGACGTAATATTTTAAGTGAAGAATAAGTAGAGAAATTGTTTTCTCGACTTAGTTTTATTTAGGCGACGATGATTGTCACAAGCAATTTTACAGTAATATGCCGAGTCAAAGCGTGTTCGCAATGAGTTACTAACGAGAATTGAGAAATTCAGCTCAGGATAGATCTTCGCTTAGTAAAAAAGATGGGACTTTGGTGAAATAGTGATAACTAATAGCTGAATGCATCTCAAATACTAAAAGTAATTGGTGTGATTTTTCAAAAATCTAGGAAAATTAAAAACAGGACGCTTTTGTACTTAAAAAATTGTTCTTTTTAAGTTCTCTTTTAATTAATAGATTGGAACTTTTATTTTCAATTTTCAATTAATACGGTCTTTCACCCTGTCTCATAGCAAGAAAATATCGAGAGAAGAAGTGGGTTCCTTCTTGTTGACGTTCACCGGCCTGCTTGGTGGCAGTCTCCCACTTGACGGACCCCGAGAACTCTTCCCGCGTCGCGGAGAAGTAAAACTCACGGACGTTTTCCGATCTCCAACAGTCCCGAACTCGTCCCCGTCGACGTGCGAACTCGTTAGGCCCCGCAACTGGTATAGCTGGCGTATCAGCTCAGCCTCTTCCTGATCTCGTCTCTTCCTGAACACGGGAAGGAAGGAAGGAAGGAAGGAAGTCGCCGCGGTGAATTCAATGCCTGGCATCCCCTGGACGCGAGAGGCGCTTCTCCCGCGTGATTAAGCGCGAACACGACCGATAAGATCGAAGAGGCTAAGAACAAACGTCAAAACAATAGGGAGACCTCGCGTCTGATCTCACGAGTGAGATTATTTTAAGGGGAAGGCGGATTCATCTTTATTTATACAAGGATCGTCGACCGAGATAGGCTACCGAGAGAGAATTTGTAAATTAATACAGGCGAGAGAGGGTTCTCTCTGATGTACCGGTGGTGAAATTCGAAAGAAGAATACAACGGGTGCTTCGTCATAGTGTAGACGTTGATTTAGAGCCAGGAACGGAATTCATCCTCCGTGATGAGGCAGAGATACTTCTTGTGTTTTCTGTGGACCGCGTTGACACTGCGGGGAGACATCCTCGTGGCGGCTGAGGCCGATCCTGCAATTTTAAACGGCGCCGACTTACCCCATCTTCAACAGGTGAGTGATAGGAAGTAATATCTATTTTGTATATTTTATTATTGAACCGGAATTATAAATATGCATTTAATATCATCACAAATAATCCAACCAAAGTTTCTATATTTCATGATTTATTCATTCTCTAATTAGATTGTTTTATTTAGTCGAAAAATTTGTAAGACTGTTGACTGATGCGACAATTTTTATCAGAATTACTTTCATTTTTCTTAATTAATTCCATCGCGCAACTTTCTCTCGCGTCAAAAAACTTTCTTCGATCGGCCGGCAAAATACATATTTGCGTAATGGAAGTGTAACGGCGCGCGAGATTCGTCGCGAGGCATTTCGGATTAACACTTGACTAAAAGCATTGATAAATCCGATTTTTCACGCGTTTAATCTCGATTCGGTTCCGCTTCGTTGTTGCAATCGATATAATATGCCAATCTTTTATTGCAGATTTTTGCATAAAGTCGAGTCGTGGATTGATGAAAGTAATAAGAAAACATTTACGAACAAAATAAAAGCGCGAGTTCTTTGCATTTTAGTCGATCACGAGGCAACTGAATAACGTTCTCGAATGGGAGTTACTCGCGGCTTCATAGTACATTAATTTGCGTATCTCAACCCAAAAATCGTTCGACGATTAGATCATTAGTTTCCATACTAGTTTTAAAAGCAGTAATTATTTATATACTGATAAAATCGTATAAAGCCGCAAAAAATCTAAATACGTTTGGAATTATCGCTGAGACGGCACTTACACCTAAATGAATTGTACAAACCGCAGGACGCTGTGGTGAAAGTAATTGCTTCATTATTCTTACATTTTATTACCATGAAAATTTCGTCCGTGGAAAAGTCATAAAATTTACACTCTCGTAAGTTGGCTTTGCTCCTGCTGAAGCAACGTTTGCATGCGCGAGAATCATTAGACATACACACATACGCGCACACGCACACGCACACACACACATAAACAATAAAATATATTATTAAAAAATATAGTAATAATAAAAAAATAACAATAAAGTATAAAAATAAACAGATATTAAATTTTAAATGATACAATAGAATAAATTATCCTTTAGAAATATAATTATTTGAATATAATTATTTGAAGTTACATTAATCAGGAACATGGCACTTAACTTTATTACTAACATATATCTGCTTACTTGCTTGGGAAAGAAGGAATAGTCAATTGAATAACGAGTTGAGTGATTGAAAAGTATTTTTCCACTCAGATTAAGGCTTCGTGTTTTGACGATTCCAGAGGTCCATCATCAATCTCATTCGCGTTTCCGCAATGAATCCTTTAGCGTTTGATTGGATTCATTTCGAAATTTCTCTAGGGACTCGATTTAATGTATTGCTCCGGGCACGTAGATTACTCGAGCGCGGACGAGTATGCAGATTTAATGAAATTGCTGTGCGCCTGACGTAATCAGGCCGTTGCATCGCGAATCCTCCGGCTATCTGCTTCAACGATCGCAGTGAAATTTCACTGGCGAGACAGTAACCGTGCGCAAAAAAAAAGAAAAAAAGAGACTCGCGCTTTGCGTTAATTACGCTCTCCATTCGTCTTCCTTCATAAAGACGAACGTGGAATCTATATTCGCGTCTCACGCTCGCCTGTTCATCGAATGTTCTTCCCGATGTTTTCTATTCGAAATAGAAGAGGCGCGCGAAGCGAGCATTGCCTAGAAAGCAATACAATGTATTTGTTTAAGTAGTGCACTTTACCTATCGGTTTAAGTATTGCAGTACCGGTTTTTAGATATGATAATTCGACAATATCACAGGTTATCTTTTCTGACAAACGTTCTTTGCAGACGCAAATCAAACTTTTACTTTAATTTTATTTGATAACGTGACATCATGTGCTCCTTTCTATCTTAAAGCAAAATTAGTGCAGAAAAATCGTTTTCTATTTTCATTGATTTTATATATATGAAATGATGTAATAAAAAAGTAATTTGATGAATACGTTTAATAAACAAGTTTTTTTACCGGATACGTTATATCAAAGAAAAACGAATCTGAAGTATCAGCACTTCTAGAAAAATACTTACACTCAAAGTATTTTTCTCAAGTTAGATTGGCACTATATAACAAAGCACGCGAAATGTTATTGTATCTGTTACGGCATGAGAAAAAATAAATTGATTGATTGATTGACGCGATAAATATTGTAGCAATTTCGTAAAATTAGCAATTCGCTGGCTGAATGCTTTCGATGGATGAAGTATTGTCATCGAATTTTCTATATATCATCATAATATTTTGCTTTAACCTACTTCCATGCTTTAATATTCATGCTTTCACAGAAAGAGAAAGATAACTGTTCGTGTGTCAATTTGAATATTCCTCTATCTTTCTCTCAGATCGATCCGTTCAGTGGTTACGACGATAGAACTCTAGAAGCGCAAGATCGTAAAACAATTCAGAGGCTGCATGAAAGTAGAACCGCACGAGTGCTCACCCACTAACAGAGTGACTCTTGACCGCCCCTCTCTCTCTTCCTCGAACCTTCTTCCACACTTCCGCTCTGCGTGTTTTACATCTGGACTCTGATATACATCTCGTAGCCTTCTTAGCAGCGTGGATCTTCTCATTCTAATTGCTAGGTTTCTCTCTGGAATCGATTCCCCGCATGAATAAAGAAGGAATCCGGTGCTGATGAATAATTTAAAAACGTGAACACACACCCACATGCACAACAGTATTTATCTTGAGCAAATACGAATCCTCTTAATAAACGTTGTAAAAGTTGTTGTACAGAAAGATCTTGGCGTTTCAACATTTCTCAAGCTTCTCAAAGTATATAAATAATCTAATCTTTCGATAGCTTTTATACCCTAATGAAAGATAAATAATGCTGTGTGAATGAATCTCTCTTTATTTCACCTAAGTGGAGGGAAGCGTTCTCTTGATAAGTAATTGTCATTAATTGAGGATACATCGGAAATGGATACGCGTGGATCCAAACGGTGTGGAACGTATCCGATCGTGGGACCTTTCACTCGGGCCACCGAGAAAACGTTCAGGTTTCCATGTACGGTATGAAAAGTATCTCGTGCGCGTGTAAAAGGAAATACGAGGGACATCCAATTGAATTGAAGTAGCTTCCGCGGTTGAAGCGTCTCCTCTTCCGGAAGCTTCTTGAACGATGGGTATAAAGCGTACACGCGTCACGTATAACCAGGAACTTTCTAATGCGCGAACAAAACGAAGACACGTTTATCTTTATCAGAGAAGATATATCTTTAACTGATTAGATACATTTGATACTTAGAAGTGCGGTACGTTTTATTTGATTGTGAGTAGGATAATGATAATCTCGCATAACGTTTGCATTAGCGTTTACACATTGCATTTGTTTTTGTTATACTTAAATAATAAAATAATCTTATATCTGTACGAAAAATATCAAAAGAAAATTTCAATATTTAAATATAATACATATATTAGATAAAACAATCTCACCTATATCTTTATTTACATATTAAAGAGAACACGTATATCTAAAGGTGTAAATATCACTTACATATATCTAATATATCTAATATATTGTAAAATATTAGAGATAATCTTTTTTTATGCAATCGCAAAAAATACGTCGCGGCATCATATTCCATCCATCGGACGGCATTATATTCCGTGATCAGTTAACAGTAATCAGTAAAGAGCGCTAACGTTCCGCGCGGCTTTTCCGCAATTTACATAAGAGGCATATACGGTTTTCACCGTTCCACTTCGATTTGCCCATAATCTTTCGCGCGAACGTGGAGCAATTCACGCAACATCACACCGAGTCGTTCCGCGAGCTAAATATTGAGCAAAATTAAGGGGCGCAATTTTACGCGCGGGTAATTACAGACACAAATGCGGGCATACATGATGGCGTGTTGTAATGATTTTCTGGCACGCGTTAGAAATCGTCTTTAAATCGCCAGACGTGTGACCTGGCACGCTTGCTAAAGCGATTTTCCTTCGTCGTTCGTTCTTCGAAACGGTCGCGGTGCTATGACTGCTGCGCGATGCTCTTCTCATATTCCATAGTTCTTCTTCCCGATAAGGAATAGTTCATTTAGAGCGTATCTGGATTAAATACAGAAAATAAAGAAGTTTTCTTGTTAAAATACAGTGCGAGTGCGTACCGTGAGAGAAACGCACATTTATTAAATTACTGTCAAGGATACCACATAAGCGAAAATAGGGTACGTCTACTTAAGAATGATTTTAAGATATGTAATAGAACTCAGGGAAATCGATCTACTTATATCCTCGAATTATTGCGTTTAGCTGATGTACATTCTTTAGTTCTTTTTCTCGGATATTTAATTCTAATATTAATAATTCGTTTTCGTGTCGCGGAACATTAACTTAGCTGCAGGTGGTTCGACATCGACACGATGAAGAAATATCGGATCTTCGCGCTATGAATCTTACTTCGCGACACGAGGTGAGATCGAGATAAATATACAGGACAATGGGTGAAGGTGAAGGATGCTACGTGCTCTCTCACTTTCTCCAGAAATCTATCTCCCCAGAAAATAACGAAGCGGGAACGGATACGACGAATGTCGACGACGCGAACAAAATTTCGTTACTTCGTTACAGGAAAGATAACGGGACGCAGGTGAACGGGTGTAATTAATTTCTTGGGCGAGGAAATTATGCAATCCGGTATATTAATCGGGAATCTCGTGAATGTTTTCTGCGCAGAGTGGAACGGACTGTGAAGCGTGTATCGGAAGGAAATTGGTATCAGGGACTATATCTTGTTGTGAAAGCCGTAATTATTCATTCTAATGAAATTAATTACATACGACACGTAGACGCGCATCGTCGAATAATCATCGATTATATCAAATGAATTACACTGCGCTATTGTTGTCCAATTAAGCTATTGTCCAAATCGCGCGATGAAATCTCGATAATATAAATGCGGAAGACAGGCCAACTTTCATCCCATAAATGTATATGCGTTAAGAAACATCTAAGCATCGAAT